GTTTTATGACTCCTGTTAAACACGGCAGTTGTTGATCTGACTGGCTTAGATATTAAGTGTGCTCAAACCAGCAGAGGGAATTAAAAAAAATGGAAAGGAAAAGTAGGGAGTCCTTTCATTGGGGTCCCTGCTGCAGGATTGCAAGTCTATTACCATTTGCTAATTTTTTCCTTTACACTGGAAATATGGAAACTGTACATTGAGGCTAAGTAGAATTTCCACCACGGCTAGAGGATAGTCACTGTACATTTGATGAGGTGGAATTTTAGGATCTGAGAGTGGTTAAATAATATAAATGGTTCTTCTGCATATTGTGGCGAGATGATGGAACTTTTTGGTTTCTGGGAGGGTGAATGAAATCAGTAAACGTCACAATAGGGCCACTGATAAAAAGTTGAAAAACCACCAGTTTGAGAAAACGACACTGGAGCTCAAGGTTACATTTTGAACTGGTTTTCAGGGAACATTACATGAAAGAAACTTTGCCTCTCAGCTACTGCATTCCACCATCATCTCAAGCTGTAGAAAGGAGGTAAGCATAGAACAGCTGATTTTTAATGGTGAAAAACAGAGCAGGAGCTATTAGCAATTGACACTCCAAACCTATCCGTGACAGTTAGCAGCATATGCAGTGCAGAGATGCAGTATCTTATCAGGCATAATTTGCATCTCCGGTGTGATCGGCTTAAAGACCTAAGAAAATGCTACATATAATGGGAAAATCCTACTCTAAATAACATACGATTTAAACGACAGATACAAACTAAATACTGGCCCACCTCCTTAATTTTAGGGATTTGTATATTTGTATATATCACTTAGACATGTCATCAATTTTTGTAGGTGAACTCCATATAATAGTCCATTACTAGCACAAATTTTATATCACAGCCAGGAGGACAATAACAATGCTGCGTTCAATATCTGCAGCTTCCGCAATGTACACATGTACACTATAAGTATACAACTTTTTCCCCCCTTTCAATGGTATTTTTATCTGAAAACAGGACGTTTGCAGAAAGGAATCTAGAAATTGATTGAGGTGTTCACTATTCACTTCAGAAGTTTCATCATGAAGTGAAACTGGACATCTGGTGAAGTCTTGGGCTGTGGCCAGTTTGCTGCTTCGGGAACTCTAACACACTTGAAGCCCTGGCCCTTGTACAATTTTATAGCTCCAGGATTATTAAGGTCACAGTGCAAAGCAATGGCTCGACATCCCCAACTTCTGGCTTGAGCCTCAGCTTTATTCATGAGCCTTTTTGCTATTCCCTTTCTGCGGAAATTTTCTCGGACGGCAACATTTGATATGTATGCAATACCTTTCCTGATGATATGGTAGCGTTGATACATAATTGCACTGAAGAAATATTCAGAATCTTTTCCATTTGAAATGCAAAACAAAGAATACTTCAGAGTAACACCAACTGAACCTAAGTATAGGGGTGCCTTTCTGATACACTATAAGAAGGTTAGGTTAGAGATGAATCTAGATTTGACCAGTAGCAAGTATAGCAATTGGAATGAATCTACATTTTGCCAGCAGTAAGCATGGGCATTGAGTGGACATAGAGGTCCTTTTCTTTGAATATTTTAGTGGATTTAACCAAAAAGGGATTGTAGAACAAGAAAGCAGCATGCCGATATATCTCTTCCCTGTGTTGGAATGTGTCACTAAAAAGCAATAGTCCAAATCCAACATGCCTATGCTCAAGATGTAAGATTAATTTATGCCTAGACAAAGGATGCTCATCATGTATACGTCATTAAGAGCAAGTCAATAGCTCATTGATAAGCAAATAACATAACAGTAGACCTATGAGAATCATTGTATGGTCATATAGCAAGTTTACTGTATAATTTATTGAATTCACAAGAGCACCAATTGCAAAAACAAATTAAGACCAATGGACTTGACAGACAACTGAAGCAGTGACGTTCCAACAAGTAGGTTTATGCTACAAATACAACTAAATCTAGAAAACAAAAGAAGGGTTCCACTAGTATCACCACCCTTATTATCAATATCACATCTACTAATCCCATCATATTAGATGACTATTTGATATTTTGCATAGCAACCACCATTATGTCACAATAATCTGTTTAACAAACCATGCACTGTTTCTGGAGTATGCCTTATTCCTATTGTATAAATTTTTGGAATATCTCTCATTCATCCGAAAGAAAACAGTCCCGCCATCATCTCTCCATTATCCTACCTACGACCATTATTCCCACAAGAAAGACTTTAAAGGTTATAGAGTCTAATCTCACATCTTAGATTTAAGGAGCAGAAGCAAACACCCACAACATGGTTTAAACCATTGCTAGTTAAGTTGTTGAGAAGCCATCCAATATTTTTATTATTCATCCCCAAATCTCTGTCAATCAATAAGATGTCTAACTTTTCTCTCTCCCTTTAGGCAACCAAGAAAAATATACTGAGTGCCAGAAGCTTCTCAGTACTACCAGCCACATCTTCACATTCCTTCACGTCCAAAAGACCAATCTTTATTTGACTGAATTGCTCTTTTTTTTTTTTTTTAACTTCAAGCCCTTTGTAACTAATTCTTCAATGTATAGACAATATCTACTTGGCAAATTGCATAATAAATCAAGTTGGTCAATTTGGATTAATTTAAAGTACTAGCAAAGTTACACATTCATGTTTCAAATGCATGAAAATCGAAGTATTCTGATTGATTCAGAGATGAAGAATCAATTCCATACTAACCTTCTTTGCCGCAGGGGTCCTTTTCTTGGAAGAAAATCAGCCACAGTATCCACAGTCAATATCCCAGCAACATATCCCTTATTTAGACTAAATTTTCCATCAAAGCCTCCAATTTTTAAATCTTCATTCCAGAAATGCAGCGTATCTTCATCTGACCGGCCAATGACAGCAACAAGACAGGTCCTCTGGCAACCACTGGGCAAAGAGAACCCAAATAGCATTCCAATCAGCCTGTCAATTCTCAATGCAAAATCTAGAGGAAAGGAATATTGTGGAAAGAAAGAGCTACAATGAGTCTCAGCCACTTCCCAACAATCCTCTAATCTGGCCTCTCTCACAACTATATCAGGAGACATGGTTGGGAATAATTCAGCCAACTGACTGGCCCTACAAAGCCCTATAGCAGAAACAGAATCATTCAATAAAACCTTCCATAGTTGCGTAAGTCTATTAAATAGATGCGCAAGTCTATTAAAAATTAACTTCTTTGTCATTAACGAGGCTATCTAACCAGAAATTGATTTCTTCAAGATCAATGAAGAAATCAATTTCTAAAGATCAGAGATCGACTTCCGTAGTTACAAGAGACGAATAAAAAGGACAATAATTCTTTAATTTTGATTTAGAACCACAATATTGTGGTAAACAACCCATGGCTTTTCAGTCATTTTCAACTCGTCTGCTATCTTAATTGCAGAAACACCCTTCCAAAACAAAACGCTGGCACTTGGAAAGTTAGTAAAGGGGACAATGAAATCTTAAAAACACCTATATAATTAGCTATCCAAAATACCTATTAACGCCCTCCAAGAACTAGATACAGTATCAGGGTGGACAGTAAATAGATTAAAACCAAATCTTGCCCAAAAAACAAAAGAAAAAGTTAACTCATTAGTTGAACAGCACATTGGGATGCAATAGCAAATAGAAGTATAATACCCTTTTCCTTTCTCATCCTCAATTTCCAAATTTTACCAACATACATATGCAGCAAGCATCATGCTTTGAACTTCTAATCGAATAACATCACACCCAAAGCCCAGAAAAGATAAAAGCTTTCAAAGCTACATAGCAAACATGCGTCTAAACTATAAATAAAGAATACATATAACAAAAAATAAAATATAAGCAAAAGAAAAAAAAAAGGAATTTACCTGAAGAAGAGAGGAGGGAAGGGGAAAGAGGGTCGTGAAGAGGAGCCCTATAAGAAGATGGAAAGGATGTCCTAGAATTGAAGAAATTGAGATGATTTAGAGATGGGTTTTGGGTGAGGCTTAAGCTGTTAAAATTAATTGAGGAAGTCCCTGATACTGTTAATGGTGGCATGGTCCAAATTTTCTTGCTTCTCTCTCTGGCTGCAGTCGTTAAGTTAACAGTACTACCGCTGATTCAGATTATTGTTGGAGAAAGGCACACACGACACACACACTTGGTTTGTGTGGTCGTGTGTGCCGGAAATTTAATAAGGCTGTAGAAGATTAAGGAAGGAAGAATTGGAAGGAGATATTCAGATTCTCCTTTGCCGTTCTTTTTGTTCGTTGATTAAGGCAAGAAGAAGCAGAATAGCAGTCTGAGAAGCTAAATGACAACTGACAAGTGATCATAGATTTAAGTACCACGTTGTCACGCCGTTTTCTTGATTTTCTGCACAAATGAAAACAGATTTCGCATTTCATGTGATGTTGACTCGAGGTTAAATTATTGCTTGTAGACATGTAAATTTTGATTTATATCCTTAATTAGGATGTTGGCAGCAAAATTTCTTCTGTTTTGAGTCATAGTCCGAAATAATTAGCATGTAACTCGCAAGTTTATTGTTCACAGCAAAATTCCTTCTGTTTTGAGTTGAGTTATACTAGGACGCAATTTGGATAAGGTTTTTGGCATCCATTAGTACACTTATATCCCATTCAACTTATCCTATATATACACATACATACTACATTTGTCTGCATTTATATACTTTTTTTAATTAATTTTATTTTTTTTTAAAATCTCACGCTTGAAATACATTTTAACAAGTGATTAAAAAAAATATCTGTTACAAAGAACATTTGGCCAATTAGTAGTAGTATAGAAGGCCTTCGAAGCCTGATATATATAACATGTTGTAACTCGCTTGCTTCGTGGACATGGAGGAGGATTCATGCCAAAATAGTAGTAAAATTTATTTTTCATCAAGTAAATACTAGCTTAGCCGTAAAGTCTTGCACATATATTATAAAAATCTAAGATTCAAATATCAAGGACAAACAAAAAGTTAATAAACTTTGTGCCAAATTTTCATCATTGAAATAATAAAGCGCAACTTAATTGATAATACACTTTACATTTTGTAATCTCTTTCAGTGACTAATAATACGCAAGACATATCTTGAGTTCAGAAAGTTAAATGAACAACCCTCTTTCAGGGTTTTGCAATTGAATCCAAGTTTCCTAGACAAAAACAGTAGTAGTGTATTCTTCTGGCGAAGGTGTGTCTCTTGTTCTCTGCAGGCAACATTTAGCTGGGGAGTCGCAAGGCAAGAATTCTATTTCCAAATGCCTAGAAAACAATAGGGAGACTGCTCAAGAAAGCTAAGGTGTGGGGAGATGTGGATTTCCCAAATAATGAACACCAAGGAGGCAGCTTCGTAAGAACATCTTGTGTTTGTGGAGTTAGTCTGTCAACATCTGTTCTCAGCTTCAGAAGTGGGCGTTCTCCCCTACTGCCCTCATTTCTTGTCATCGGACCGTGCTTTTCGTTTATCCAGGAAAGAGTCAGGCTGAACTTGGTTGGCGCTTTCTTGCCACCTGAAAACTGAATGATATGCCATCCATCCACAATTGTCTTGCCACCAAGCGGAATTAACTCCTCAGACTCGCCCACATCTAGAGACCAAAACATTAACAGAAAAGGATCTTTTTGTAAGAGAGCATGATATCCAGTGGCTTCAGTTATGATAACATTGCCATTCTTCTGGTGAAGCAACAGTTTCAGCTTGGAGCAAAAACATGATCAGTAGTTTAGGAAGTAAACATGACTTAAAAAGATTATGGACAGTTATGATACTCAAAACGCCACAAAAAATGCCCTGAACAAGAAGCCAAGCTAAATTCCTTTGCTCCAATTGACAATGACAATACTATTCTGAAAAACATGCAGCACTCTTACCCGGTTAATATACAGTGGAGTAACTCTCTTTGATAATGAAAAAGACTAATAACCAATAGGAATAGAGTTTAATAACCATTACCAATAATATGCAACAGAAACAGTATTCTATTTAAATTTCCTGAGACCTCTCAGATGGATGTAACAAAGGTGAACTTTTCAGAATCAAAATCTTTTTCCTTCATCTTAGTGGCCAAACAATTGTAACCAATGTATCTGGTAATTAGTTCTCCCCATCGGTTCACCAAAAAAATTTTACTCAATTACAAGTTATATTAATATTCCTTGGCTAGTTTTAGTATCAATTTAGCATTTATAAAATGACTGTACATTAGGGCAGTTCACGTTAAAATTAAAAAAAATAAAAAAAAAGCAGCTATTGTCACCTGTAAGTCGGTGATTTTTGAAACCGGTCAGCCCAGTCCCCCTTACTGCTTAACATGTCTTGCATCAGATGCGAGAAGCTATAAGCTTCACTCACATGTATCTAAAACTACTTTCAGCAAAGTTTGATGAATAACCTTATATCTGTAATCCCAACTCTGAACCCCCAAAACAGAATTTTCCATTAACAAGGCGTTCCTCAATTTATCAATAGTTCTCCAAATTAACAAACTTCACAGAGTAACAGATTGCAATAGTAGCCTTTAGATTATTAATATTCGTTAATGGGAATCCCCACCATACTCATTATTAAAACATTTTACCATCTAAATGTACAGCATCTAGCTTTTAGGTACTTTCCAACTTTAACCTCCCTAACGCATTAGAGCCCTGTAGGTTCAACATCTAGCTTATAGGCCCTGTAAATCACAGCCCCTTGGGTATAACATGTGTTAGACAAACCCTTTAAATTATAGAATCTCTATTGCCCATTTATGCAGTTTCTTCTAAGCCTTTTCCAGGACCCAATCAAATGACATTAGACTTTAAGCAGCACAGCTACCCAGGAGGCAAAAGTGAAGCTAAAAGATTTTCTCCAGACCAGTCAACCCAAGGTTGAATGCAGTGGGTTCCTCTATGTTGCATCATTCTAGCACAGCTTTAAATTCTTCATACTAGTAACTGTTGTTATCAAGGATTGCTGTCATACATGTAGGTACTGCCTTTTCCACTTTTACAAGGGTTTACAGTAGACACAAGAAAAGGTCTATGTTAAGCAACTTGAGAGCAACTAAATTCTGACAATTTACATCTCTAGAAAATTGATAAAACTTACAAGCATGTAAATCCAGAACGGGTAAAAAAAAAAAAAAAAAATAGAATTTAATGAAAGGGTAATCACACTAATACTCCACTTGCTTCATATTCGTATCCAGAAATTACACAGAGGATGGAGTACCAGTACCAAAAAGCAGACTGCCAATATTGCCACCCTTGATAAAAATCTTCTTCTATTGGAAATGTTCCAAAACAGACATAAATGAACTTGAATGGAATGTGTCTACATGTATTCATATAATGAACTTGAATGATTCATTAGTAAAAATCTACTCATGAATCAAAGAGGAAAAAAGTCGTGAAACAGGAAAACAAGGATAAACCTTGAGAAACATCCATTGTACCTTTCAACTGGAAATCTTCAATTTCTTCCATATTGATTCCAAGAGTCCATCGAGTGGAAAATTTTGTGTCCAATGAGATTTCAGTAATTCTGTTCTCATCCATCATATCACGCTCGACATGAATTGCGGGGATATCAGATTTGTCCCACCCAGCTAAAACATCCTCATCAATCCAACAGCTGTAGTTCACTGAAAAACTGACAAAATCAGGCATCTTATCCTTGCCACAAACCATTTTCTTCCCAATCTTTTCAGCCTCTTTAATCAAGTTTCCAGGAGTTGTTGAAAACAGTGAAACATAGGAGTCTGGTTCTTGTTTTCCACCATGTTTTCCTGTCGTATCCACAACATGGACAACCTGAAAAGATGATGGCACCCAACTATCAGAAGCAACATATTCTGAACATGATTTCCCAGCCAAAAATTCAAGCATGTGAACGTGATTATTACACCATTAACTAAAGTGAAAGCTTATTTCTGTGTTTAAAGCAGTTACAAGCCAGAAGATAGTTCCAGAGTACCTTAGTGGCCTCTCAGTTTTTAAAAGAAGCAAAATAAAGTAATTGACAACACCAAAAAGCAGCTTTTAGCCAAAAAGAGCAAGAACCTGCTGATCTTAAGCAATCAAGAATAAGCCCTTAGTGAAAAAAATTCCTTCTATGAACTTGCAGGAACTTGAATCTACAGTGACCTATCTTAAACTAGTTGAGAATAAGAAAGTAGTTGATCCAGGAATACAAATTTACCCGAAAATGCAGTTAGAGCAACATGCGTTATGGAATATTTAGATGAGGTATAAGTTATATTTATGTCAAGGACTACCAGCTACTTACATTCACAGCTCTGGCAGTATCTTCAGTAAATGCCTGAAGAAAACCTACTACCGAACAAATTGAAAGGCCAAAGAGGATAGAGGTTATAATGATGATTGGCACCTTTGCACCTGGAAAGTAAATAACAGGAGGAAACATGTGATTTTGCAAAATCCAGTGATTATTTTCCACTACTATAACTTCAAGTATACCAACCAAATAAAATAAAAGACATAAATGAGAAATCCAGGGAAACTAGCCATCTCCCTTCTTGCTTTCATTTTATTAATGAGGTTGGTGAAATGGTATGTCAAAGTAAGACTAGTCAAGTGTCCAAGCCCAGCAAATTAGCACTCTCAAACCCTTCAAAATCTTGTGGGTCTTGATGCTGTGCTTTGGTAAAAGGACCGAACCAGCAGTGAATTGGTTTTTCCCTCTTACCCCTTCACTCATAACAAACAAGATAGATTACTTTCGAATGACAGATCTGTAGCACTTAGCTGTCCATTATCCATCATACTTCCCCTTCATGGACCATGTAGAGTTTTTGCAAACCTTTTCTGTAGCTGATAGCATTTTCTGCTCGTAAATGTACATTTTATTTCACAGGCAAGTGATCAAAGTATAATATAGTACACAAAGGAGGTTTGCCTATTTTAGTTCAATCTGTAGGTGAAAGAAGAAACTGAGGAATTGTAAAAACTACGTGCTAGTTTCTTCCAACTGTCCAAGCTCAAAACCCAATAATAGCAACTTGATGAAGCCAACTTTTTCAAGTACCTAGTTTAGACCCCATAAAAAAAATACTCAAACATTGGGAGAGATTGAAGTAATTGCAATTCTAGTTTTTAAGTAAAAAGAGGTTACGACAGGTCTGTAATTGAATCATAATTGGACTTGCATGAAATATACTAGCAGAAAAGCAAGACACGCAACAGTAAATTTGAGGCCAAGTAGTTGAAAAGCTATTTTGGATAGTTGCATACTTTACGCCTCTATCTATGCATAGCAAGCAGATATGTTCCTTGATACAAGTTCAAGCTAGTGAGAAGCTATATGATTTCGCACATCATGCACTTCAACTTAATAACCAGCATTTGACTGATATACTGCAATTAGACAACTTTACCACAGGATCTGCTTTAGAATGAAAAATCAGATCTTGAAGTGTTTGGTAAAAGTGTTTGCTCTTAATTAATTTTTTATTGCCAATTGAAGCTCCCATTATGGTCATGCAAAACTGTTACAACTTAAATTTTTTAAAATAGTTCACTGATTGAGAAGCCATAAAACAAAGGCCGGCAGTAGCATTTGTGAAAAAAATGACGGCAATTCAAACTAATATTGGTGTTCACGTAAGAAGGATATTGTTACTACTCGGTAATAAATAACTCAAATCTCTAAATGCTCTCATCTTGTCTAAACATAACCAATAAACCAATAAATTGTTGGTAAAAATGCAATACACCAAAACATAACCTATGTACTGTGTGCAGGACTATCACGATCAGAAAGATGCCACCAGAAAGCAGAAAATGTGGGCGTGCTACCAAAGACAACTCTCTGCCCCCTATGCAAGTACTGTATTTATGCACTTGAAAAGGAACTCAGTTCATTCAAATCCAAATCCTCACTTTAAGGGGTGGCGCCTAAGAAGGTCAGGACACATGCACCTAACATTGCTTACATCCAAAGTATTTGAAAATTGTAAGTTCAACCTTGAACTTCATTGATTTGTGTTTGATTAGGACAAACTTTTCATAATCAACTGCAAAGACAAGCAAGCTTTCGAGTAAGAACCTGAGATGTGAATATATGACAGAAGATACACCAACGTAAGGCACACAATTGCAGCAATAAGAATTGCAACCACAATATTCCCTATCCACTCAGGGTTGCTACCAGGATTCCTGCAAAAAGATAAAGATGACCCCCATTACTCCTCTAGCGGATCAAAAGACTGGTTAAACAATTTCTGGTGTACTGCAGTTGCCAAGCAGAAAGACAGCATTTATATTCTACAGATTTGCTGAGATAAGGAAGTATTATGACTGCTGATTAATTTGATGCAGGAATAATGAAAGGACCTGACCATCAGAGATTTTTTTCATGTGGCTAATGACCTAAGATTGATATAAGATGGAACCTAAAAAACCACAAGTAAAAGACAAAGATATCATCTTTAAATGTCAAACAAAGAACAGTAACATAAGTATATGACTCTATTTGGCAACAAATTGTTAGAAACAATCAAGAATATGGCTTGAAATATCCTAGGTTATTTATTTTGTCCAGAAAGATGTTAATCAAGCAGCCTGATAATATTTGTGTACAAAATCCAAAAGAACCAAAAAAAAAAGAACATATTCTTGGATTCTGTGTCGGTGTTTGAGATATCCTAGGTCAGATGTCTATCAAACTTTAAGATAAGCTAAAATTATCCATAGATTCTCAACAGATCCCGCAAAACACCGGAGAGGATGCATTTACAGCCAAAAAGTGAAATCATAACAATGTAGAATCAAACCAACTCCCGTCCCCCAACTAGAGAGGTTATTTTTAAAAAAAATTATATGCATGTGATAGTCTAAAAAACCTTTGAGAAGCTAAAACTTACCAAATGTGCAATATTTCCTAATACAATGGAACAAAGAAACAAGGAAACATGAGAAAATGAAGAACAACATGGTACTCTGTTATTCAAAAGAAAGAGTGGAAATAAGAAAGGTTAATGATATTGGCAGAGATACTCCATTTTCTTCATGTTCTTTTGCTAAAAATATAAAATCGGTGGAGTGTCAATATCAGCACTAAAAAAGAATATAACTCAGGACTTCCAAGAAAATTTACCCTCTTACTGTTGGTTTACCTTTCTAAACGAACTGTAGATCCAACCATTATGCTTGTCAACCTTATAATCATACCAGAAGATAGTAGAAATGGAAAAGACAAGCCAATCACCAAGGTCAGAGTTTTCAGTGGTTTAGGCAACCGAGCTGGTGATAGAGTAGCTTCAAGCAACCCATCTGCTATTCCAACACATAGATTAGACAAAACAAAGCAGGATTGATATGATTCCAAGTTTTGAAAAAACTTAATAGCTATCGAAGAAAAATTCTAGTAAATCATAGATGAGAAAGAAGTAAAATTCTCTTAAATAGAGATATATCTAAACAGCTATTTTGAGACAACATCCAGCTTTTATCAGATCTCAGGTTGTATCATTAGTGTTGCATTAGGTCTCATCACTATGAAGCAGGCTATTGTAATCATACTTACATGCAAATGCAGGCGAAACCAGCCAAACAAGAGCTAAATAAGTAGATCCAATCTTATAATAGTTTCCCAGTATCAGGAGCAGAAGCCACTGTATTAAACCTGCCTTAAAGAGCCATCTTTCAGAATCTAACTTAGCAATGTCAGCTTGAACAGAAGAAGAAAGGTCCCTATATCTTGTTGAGTATACAGCTGACAAGTATCTACGCAGAATCAGATATCCTAGATGTTGGCCAATGAATGCTCCTAGCAGAGCAGGTACACCAAATAAACCAACCACCAGCCAAGGGTTTGAAACATATGGAACTGGTGATGCAGATACAAGTGGGAGACAAAAGGCAGCAACAGCAGCGAAAGCAATGGAGCTTATCCACATGAGTATGATACTCAAAGATGACAAAGCCAGTGAGATTAGTGCAGAAGAACCACCCATCATGATTGATGTAACCCATATCAAAAGTGACTGCATAATTGTGGAGTTGTAGAACATGTTGGCTAACCGTTGACGAAATACAACAATATATGTTCCCTGAGACACAAGCATACATGTTCAATTAAGAATGACATTGGCATCTGTATCCAGTTAGATTGACTAAAATTCATCTATGTAATCAAGAGATTGACTAGTCAAACAAGAAAATGCAGATCTACAATAATCTGCTAAAGTATTGCTAAGGTACCAAAATGTCAAAATATATAGCAGCATCTCTGCTAGAATTTCCATCTTGTTCCTCTGCCTTGCCCAGAGGAAGATGAGAAGACGCAGCAGCTTGAAGCAGAAAAGCGAGCATATTTTCTCCAAGATGTTGAAGAGAACCCGGTTTCAGAAGCTTTAATTTGTCATTCTGCACAAAAAGGTACTTATTCCTAATAAAAGTTGTTGGTATAATCAAACCATCTAGCTTTGGATATCTCAAAGAAAAATAGAGGAAAAGGGCTAAAATAGCAATTAGACATATCTGCAGAGAAGATTTACTCCACTTTGTTATAAATGAACATAACATGTCCATAAAGACATGCTACTAGGTAGAGCTCATGCCACCCACCGAGAAGCAGATTATTGTCAGGCTAGTTAGATTTCTATTCATGTCATGCACATTTGAATAATGCCTTTTTTCTTTTTTTAAAGAGGCACATCAGAATAATATATCATCAAGTAATAGTTTCTAAGCATGAGAGAGAGATGATCCCAGCCACAACTCAGTCTAATTTTGGTCAGTCAGGAGGCAAGCATTATCCAAAAAGTCATGCTCACAGACGATGAAATCAAGGTGTTTAAAATAATCAAGAGAATTGATGAACTGATTTGTATTATACTCCAGATGAAATCAATAATCTGCTCTGGAGTCTGGTTCATTTGATTAAAAGAAGAGCAAAAGTTGGTCATTATTCTGCTTCACACCAACTTATGTTCTATATAATTGCGCTCCAGATAGAAATGACAGAAGCTGCCTTTTTATGAAAAATGCATTAGATTGCTATTTTGACCAAAGCGCCATATAAATCTTAATATCAAGCAACATAGCATGAGAATAAAATGTCTATGTGATCTTCCAGGTTACCTTTGTGTGGTATACGGCAGTGTCATCAAGAAATGCAAAGTCAAGTCCAGAAAGTCCAGCAACTTCTTTATATATTTGAAAATCGGTTGCAGATTTTATTGCCCCAGAAGAAAAGAGATCCTGCAGCACTAAGATATCCCGAAGATATAAGTTTTTGTCCTGCCTGGAAAATGTAATTTAGTAAAAAAGCAGTACAGTATTCAACACAATTGTTATCTCCACATACTACACAAACAAACTCGTTCAACAGACCTGTGCAACAATCTGAGCAGATGGATACTTTGCTACAGCTGCAAAGTTTTCGATTGCCCACGGATTAGGACCAGCCTGTAAAACAACAAACAAGAAGACAATAAGGAAAAGAAACAGCCTAACCAGAGTCATGATGGATACCAATTAAAAATAGATCACTGAAGGTAACGCATTAGGCCATTATTCTAGGTTTAACACAAATGCAAGAGAATCTATTAATTTTAAATGTATCTAATATTGTGAGGGTGCATTAAACACATAAGATAGGCTTGTTAATCTTTTTTATCATCACAATTCTCGTTCCTTTTGTTGGCACCCATTGCTGCCATCAGCAATTGAACCATGCTAGGCCACACATACCATGTAAGAGAAGCACCACAATGTTTTTTCTAAAAGTCAAATATTTCATAGTTGCTACTTCAGAAGCAAATAAATTTAGAGAAACATTAAGGCTAAGGGAACTAGGGAAGCAAGAGAGAGAGAGAGAGATTTTAATTCACAGAGTAGACCTGAAAAATGGTAGACTTTCCGCCGATACCCATTGCCTCCAAATCAATAGCCATTCTTACTGTATCACTCCAAGGGTGCTGCATTGAGATTATATGTCAATCCTCCCATGTTCAATATCTGTTGGACTTTGCAGAAGACTTATATTTTGAACACCAGAACAATAGCATTATCAAATTCTATTTCCAAGGATATCCACTTGCAATTATAGTGTATAGAATTTTTTACCCAACTTCTATCCCAAGGCATGGTAGCCTTACTCTCTTCCTCCCCCTCTCCCATTCCTTCTCACTCTTCTCTTCTCTCATTAATTGAGAGAGAGACTCTAGAGTTTACAGCCACCCAACATATATTTGCCAACAGAGATCTTTATCAGTTCAATGATGAGTGAGAAATCCAAAGCTCCAGACTCATCCAATTCACAGGTGGAGGAGGACATATCTGTTCTCAAGTGAAACTTTTGTCAGGTAATGAGCAAGTTCCTTCTTATCAGGTAATGAACTTTAGAGCACTGTTGATTGACTTAATGCATATCAATTCCAAACTTGTAGTACAAGGAATAAGAAAAATAAGGCATTAAATAGGGGTAAGTAAAAAGAGGGAGAAAATCAATGAGAACTGGGGAAATTAGTCAAAAGAACTGACTAAGATGGAAAAATCCATCCAGATTTTTTTGAACTAAATCTATTGCTATTTATGCTGACTATGTTTTCAACATTATCAGGCAAAATTTCATCATTTTTCGTCAAAACTCTAGACGGCAATATTTTCTCCTCTCACCAGGCACTAGAATCCTGTAATTGGTTGGTTGGTGCCAAAAACTTCTTTCATATTTATAGCTGCTCATATATATTCACACATCTTGGAAGAGATGGAGGGTTGCAACCTTGATGGTTTAGTGCCCAAGAAAATCCTAACAAGCTTTTCATGATGAGGTTCCAAGCTAGGAGTTAAGCAACTAATACTCCGTACATTCACTTATAATAATGGTGTGCGCGCCTATTCCTAATGATGGAGGTCCAAGCATTAGAATTGATTTTGGCAACATGCTGAGATGGTGCATGAAAAAATCGGCTCTCACCAACCAATATTAACAAAAAAATACATCAAATAAATAATTAGGGGCCACACTCCCACCAATAGACATCTCTTGGTCAAAACCTGAGTTATAAAGCTGTGAGCACCATTTAGCCCTTCCTCCTCCCCAGTATTAAATAAGAATATAACAGCATGCTTAAATCCATGAGCCCACTGAGAAATTCCTCGCGCAAGCTCCAACATAACAGCAACACAAGAACTGCAATCACCTGCTCCTTCCCTACATACAAAGGTCAGCATTGAATGAGAAGCTCCAGATTCTCTGAAAAAAGTTGAATGCATCTTAGAACAAACAAATGAAGATGAAAAAATGAGATTGTAAATGGACTATATGCAAGGACAGTCATCCAAAGTACAAATCAGCAAACCTACAGATAATTCTTTCCAAAGGAAAGAAACAGATTTCTGAGGACATGCAAAGAAGAATTAAGTAAAAACATACCCAGAAAAAACAGTGTCAATATGGGAGGAGACAAGAATAGCATTCTCCCCAGCTTCAGTGGCGTATTTGGGCAGGATTCTCATAGCAACGTGATTCAAATCTGAATAAACAAGAGTTTTGCCCTTAAAAAGGCCACTAACCAGACGATTAGCTCCATATCTTGTATGAAAAAAGTCAATTTCCACATCAACTTCCCAATGAGCAGTTTTCTTAATCGACTCTGATGCTGCCAAGACGTACTGGAAAGAAAGTTGGCATCATTATAAAGGTATGCACATAGAAAAGCATCAAAATGCAAATACTATTTACCCAAAAAGAATACAGCAACCTTCACACCACAAGTAAGTGGCAAGCAAAATCAAATTCTAAAGTAGCATCAAGGATTATCGGCGCACAATATCTGTAGCTAAAAATACCAGCTACCGAACATGAATGTGGCATGTAAATTAAACCCTTACTAGAAAAGTGCAGCTTCTACTTGCTGTTCATTATTTACAAAACTATCAAGAGAGCTATATTGTTGATCACACATGTAACCTTGTCTAACAGCTACTTTTAGACAGCGGAATGAATCAACTCTTTGTATTTTAGATTATACAGTATCATAGGGTGGTGGGTGTCAAACTTTAGTTAATTGACACTTAGTGATCAAAAGCTTTAAACTTTTAGATAAGGGTGAGTATGATCATGGGTTTTTCTAAATGATAATAGATTCCAATGAACTCACCATTTACACTAGAATTTATATTATTTTATTGAAATTAAAAGACAGAAAACAGAAAAATGGCAGAGAATCTTATGGAATTGCAATAATTATGACTATCGAATTAACTGAAAACAGATAGGGATGCAGGTTAATTACATCAGTGAAAATAGACCATTAATACCTGCAAAGCACGGTCCAGAGCATCAGAACCAACAGGGTGAGGACCAAATTGAGTCAATGCCTTGACATGCTTTATAGCCTCAAGCTCAGAAAATCCTCTCTTACCCACCTGCACAGCCGAAAGTGGAGCTGGCAGACTCTCAAACTGGTAATGATAAATAGCCCAACTCCCATTTACGACCAGCACAAACAATGTCAGAACCACAAAAGTTGACCTCTTAGCAGCCACTACTACATCATCACTGTTCTGGGGTCCCTTTTTATCACTTGTATCACCACTGGTAGATGAATTTGATTTAGCAGCAGAACTACTATTGGGCCTCTTTCTCATTTTCCCTTTCCTTATCGTAATACCCCTTTAAGATACTTAACATAAACCTAACACCTGACCTGAAGATAAATCATCCACACCAAAAAGAATAAAAAGTTCAAATCTTTATGAGATAAAGTCAGTTTCTTGAACAACCCAAAATTCAAAAACTTGAAAGCTCAACAAGCATATCATTAACCAATCTTTCTTGGAATTTAACTTACATGAATTGGGCTTTGATTTGAATAACCAATATAAATAGCAAATATGAAATCAGATACAAGAAAAGCAAAACAGAGTTATAAACACTTGCCTATTTAAGTTGAGATGCGAAAATGTGCTTCTGGGTGGAACTTTCAGTAATGAAGAGTGGAGACTAAGAAGAAAAGAGCAGTGACACGTGAGGCAAGGACGGTACAGAGGAGGGGAATAGCGGAATGGGTCGTTAGTTGGTTAAACAGATTGACCTAAGCACCTGTTCTCTCGAGTGATGTCAATGGCTGCTAAACGACGTCGCGTAAATAGGCAGAAACCTGTGTGGGTTCTGTTTCCTCGCACAAGTCAAACATATGAAAAAATACGATGAAAAAACCAATTGGCCCTCAAACTTATAAAAGGCATATTCTTCACCCTTTTGGCTAGATATATTCTTGAGTTGATGAAATGATGTGACAAAATTTGTATCACGGTGTCTACATAGACAGGATCTACTCAAACCTTTGACTAGAGAATATACCCTTTCACAAGTTCGAGAGGCAAAAATATATATTTAATAGGTGGAGGGCTAAAAACCTATCAATTTAAAAGTTTGAAGAACATCTAGATTTTTTGCCCCAAAAAAAAGAGAGAAGAAAAAACTAAAATATTTTATTTTAATATCTAAAAAAAAAATTCCTAGTAATTATTTTATCAAAAGTTTATCTTAAGTAATCATATATCTCAATTTCATGAATAATATAAAATATATTGTATATTATATACAAAATATATTCTTCAACAAAATAATAGCTTATTATTGTTATACATAAAATAACATATTATTAACTTCCATTGTTGTAAAGCTACCAAAAAAACTATTGAACTCAACATATTTTAAAAAGTTAATAGACTTCCAACCACTCATAGAAAGATTGTATGTATTGTGTCAATATGTGTACCTCATTTAAATAGAAAAAAGTAAGAGGACAAAAACATTATATGCTTACAAAGAGATTATTGAGATATTCTAAGAGTATAAAGACTTAGATCGTATGGCCAAATTTAAAAAAAAAAAAAAACCTCATTGAAACGTTTCAACAAGACAAGATAAATTTAAAAAGCTCAAATAATTTTTGAAATTTTATTTTTTTGAAGTCATGTGACAATTTTCATCCAATTAAGGGCATGACATATTTTCACTACTTTACATTTGACTGTTAGTCTGGCAATCTATAGATTTTATGTGCGAATGAATTGCTGCTAGATTATAATTATAAGGAGGTAATATGTAATTTTGCCTAATAAATGGGAAGTCAATCCCCAAGAGTTCGACTTTAAAGTCAACTTCAAAGCCATCAAACTCCATTTGAACTTAAATTTATAAAAAGAAAAAAGAAAAGAGCCAACACAAAAACTCCCCCTCTAAAACTCATATTAGTAGAGTCGAGTCGAGCGAAACTCGCAACCTTTGAGGTTAACTTGATTACCTAATTAGCTAAACTAGAATCTCGTTTCTCTAAACTAACAAGTCTAGACTAGTATTCAAACTTGACTCGTAAAGAAAATCTCGATTTCAAGTTCGAACTCGAGTTCAACTCCTTTAACACAAACGGATTGAACTCGAGTTCGAACAAGCTCAAACGAACTAGAAACCATAACAAAAAAATGCAAATCATCAAATTTTACTAATTTAATGAACCTACTAATTAAGTAAATTAGCACTAAATATAAGAAGGCATTTTTTTACTATTTGTATTTTAAACAATTATGTCAAGCTAAATGTACATAGTTATCAAACAAGTTAAACGAGTTTAAATGAACTCTTTGTGAGTCGAGTCAAGTTTGGCTTATTTATCGGTTGAGTCATGTTTGAGATTGACTCATTTAACTATTGAGTTAAACTTAAGCTTACACGAGTCGAGTCAAACCGAACTAATGAACAACTCAATTCATTTAACTGGTCTAATTGTGAGGTCTCTCATCCCTATCCTTGTTGCTACCCAAAAAAAGAAAAAGATCCTTGTCGCGGTTGGTATTCATTGTGTTTCTGGAATATGCGAATAAAAAATAAGCAAGATGTCTATGATGGTGCTACCTTATCTTTGCTTCTGTTTTCTGTTGTTTTCCTTTTCTAGTTGTGAACGTCTAGTTACAGGTACTACTATTATGCCATCAATATATAATCAATACATTCTCAAATTATTGTATCAACGACAATAAGAACGCATGATGATTATATTATTGGAAATAGTAATCGACAATAATAGCACAAATTTTTGACAATGAGGACACGTTATATTGGAAACCGCTATTGACATCTACTGAATAGCACAATTTTTTTTCTTTCTCAATTGCATGTTATTTGATTTTTAAAATGTTCACAAAATCAAATAGACAAGTATAGGTTTTGGAGCGTAAAAAATAATGAGCAATGCAAGATAAATAGGGGCAGGAAGATAGTTAAATTAAAGAGAAGAAACTATTCAAGAAATATATAGGTTTCTTCTAGTTGCTAATTGAGCAAATTTTTCTTCAATATGGTCAGCCATAAAACGATGTGCAGTATATTCTAAGAAAATATACTCTTTAAGTGTCGTTCAAAACTTTTTTGGGGGATCAATTAGCAAAGCTATACTTTTTAACCCATTGATGACAATATTATTATTTGAAATATCAAAATACTAAAATTCACATATAATAATGAACGGTTCGTCATCCTTTTTGTATAATATTTTTGTATAGATATTGAATAATGATAGCTTGATGAATTCCAATGGCCCTTTCAAAAGTTCCTCCCCCTCTTAGGTTAAGGGTTTCATACCCCTAATTAGGTATGTTTGTTTTTGTCATTAAAAAAAAAAAGAAAAAAAATACTAAAGTAGATCTCTAGTCCTTTCTATCTTTAAATTTTTGTTGATTAAAAAGCTATAGAGACCTAATTAGGCAATACATGACGAGCTTGCAACTAATTTTAATTGTATGATATGCAAATACGAAAAGAAATTATTATTACTTAATTGTATACCAATAACATATTATCAAACTTTCATGATCGCTAAAATCTTTTTAATTATTAAATCCATATCATACTTGAAAAGATTAATGAACTTTAGACCGCATCTATAAAGCTTGTATTTTTTGTATTAACATGTGAACCATATTTATCAAAAACAAATGTGAAAACCAAAATCTTTAAAAAGAGATTATTAAGATACGAATTCTATATGTTTGGCTTACAACTAAGCTCACAAAAAACAAAAAGGAAAAGACAAATAACTTAGATAAAGATCAATACATAAAATCAGAAAACATTATATGTTGTAGCAAGTTATAATAAATTTAAAAAAAAATTAAAAACAATGGTCCTCATTTCACGAGTGGCTTGATAAACCAAACACCCTCATCAAACCAAGACACAAGATAACCTTATTTTTAATAATGAATGAATAACCATTTAAACATCTAGAGGTTCTTGACACGCATCCTACAGTTTTGCTGCAAGTAATCATTCTCATAGAGCAGGTCCATCACTGTTTGTTTCAAATTGTCATTTTCTTCCTTCAAAAGGGTGTGTGTAGCAATCAATCTCTCCCTAACCAAGTGAAACTCCGCGTTGTCTTTCTCCAACTTATCAAGGCTCCTAAAAAATTAAAATCAAGATAAAGCAATTTTCCCAAGACAATACATGAGAACTTGATTGAAAATCAAACTAAATGTATGTATATACATACACACATATATGTATATATATGTATATGTGTGTGTATATATTTGTGTGTCTGTATATGTGTATATATGTGTGTGTGTACATGTATATACACACATACACATAGCAAAGCTCGATTCTTCTTCTGTTTCTGGTATTCAAAAGATGATCAATTATATATGTGTGTGTAGATATGTGTGTATGTATGTGTGTGTGTATATATACACATATATAATTGGAAAAGAACCATGTTTGGATTGATATTTTTAGGACTGTTTGTAAGAAAATATACAGAACTATTTGATGTTTGTGAACTAAAAAAATAATTAGGAGATGTGTTCACGAAAAACATTTTTGACAGAAAATCACAATCCAAACAAGGCAGGCCTTGAAATTGAAAGTCGAAAATTGGTGATGAACGTTACACTTCAAAACCAAATAGTTTAAAAATAATCACAAAAGATTCTGCTATTAGATTAAGTGTTGACCTGTTTGAATGATTGAACATAGCAATGAGAAAAGAAAATTAGAAAGTAACTTAAGCACATAAATAAATTTAGATAAGAATATGAATTTTTACCTGCGATTTTGAAACCAAACCTTGATTTTTTCATCCTCAACGTCCTTAAGCGCTAGACAGTCATGCTTCATCTGTTGCCTTTGAGAAGCAGATGGATATGGACATTGAGCATACATTTCTTCCAGAGCTACAAGCTGCTTATCGGTGTAAGTTACGTTACCAGAACTCCCTGAATTTGCCATATCCTATTGAATAGACTTCTTGACACCACACATAAAGAAAGTTAGAACAAATAAGAACTCAAAAACTATTGTTAATAAATATATCATAAGTATTGTACAAATTATAATAAAGGGATAATTTCATAAACCTCCCCTGAGATTTCTAACAATTTTACTAAGCTCTCCCGAGATTAGGAAAATTACACACATCTCTCTTGATTTGATAGCTTTAGTAACAAAATCTTAAAATAATATTGACTTGGCCAATTTTTTAAATGAATACCCAAAAATACTCTTGTGTAATGAGTTTTAATTTACTTCCATGTATAATTACAATATTATCTAATATAATTATAAGGAAAATGTGCCGAATTTTTCATGTCCATACATATTATTTGATAAATAACTATAATAATAATTTTATCACTATGATAAGATACTTTTGATGATATTTTATTATGGATTTAGATTTATAAGATAGAAAATAAAATGTTGAAATAATTGATTCACAGTTTATGAAATTTTTGAATAGTGGGATTATCACAATTTAATACTAATTTTGGATAATTTTGTTTTGATTTATTGTTAATTTTAATACCAAAAAATAGAAAACAAAGATAAAAAGGAATAAGAATGAAAAAATAATTTTAAAATCATTCTAAGTATAAGTATACCAAATGAGGGAATTTCATTAAAATATTTAAGGACAGTGTTGTCATTTTAAATGACAATGAAGATATGTGTAATTTTTCAAATTTCAGGAGAGTTTAGTGAAATTGTCAGAAACCTTAGGAGAGGTTTCTAAAATGATCCCTATAATAAAACAGCTTTGTGAACTCCGTCCACCATTGGATAAGTGCAACGTGTAGGGTGTGGCCTTGTTCGTTAAAGATAAATTATTCTTTTGAACTATCAAAGATACGACAAAACCATTTATTGTTTGGCTCTGGTCTTTAACTTTTTGCGTGAGTTCATTACAAATGGTTTTAGTTTGAACGACCTCTTTTTTCTTTTTTCCTTTTCTTTTTTTAATTTTTGTTACGATGACATCCATATAACCTTATCTATAAGAGATTAGCAGGTATACAGATCAGACTAATAGGTATACAAATCAGATTAGATTAAATGGGTGCTCTGACACCTTTTTTGAAAATTTTTTATTGCAAGTGGGGTTCAAACTCCGATCTACAGTTCAAAGAGGAACTTAATTTCTTTTTGGTGACTACAGAAATAAAACTCGATGGTTTAGTTCGAACGTCCTTTGTAGAGGTGTATTTGATTGTAATCTGAACTAACCTAGTAAATTAGGTAAATTAAGAGAATACACTATTTTTTTGAGCCTTATTATTAATCTGAATGCCTTTCTCTCACTCTCTCTCCCACACATACACATATATAAATATAATTCAAATTTGAACCGAGACTGGTGGCTTTGAAATTGTGATCTTGTGTGTGTGTATATATATATATATATATAAAGTCATATTCTCATACTTATCTCTTCATTCTTATCTCTTTATTAGATGAGTCTTGAGCTCAAATCACCAAATCTCATAATTAAATACATAATTATATATAATATATATTTTATAATTATAAATTACTACAAATTTATATATAAATTATTAATATTTATGTCATAATATGTATAATCATAAATTATAGATATAATTATATATATTACATATATATAATTATACTCATGTACAAGGTGGATTTTAATTGAGTCTAAATCTAATATGGTCCAAACTCGACTCACATTTAGTTTAGACTTAAATTTAGGCCTAAACTTTATCCGGCTTAAATTAGAATTTAGACCCAACAAGCCTTTTTGGACTGAATGATCGGCAAATTTGTCCCTTCACTAAGATTTGTTCTGCAAGCTAATTTTGGCTCTGACTATATGACATCAGCCAAAGCCACAACTATTGTATTCATGATTTTGATGGTTCTCAACTTTTCATTAATGGTCTTAATTGTTGTGATGGTTCGTTAATATAATCATCATTAGTCATATAATATTAGTATAAGGATATTAAAATTGTGTGAAAAAAGGATTAAAATTTAAAACTAACAACGGGGAGGAAGATGATTATTCATACAATAATGATAATACCGATTTTTGACCCAAAAAAAATAAAAAAGCGCAGCAATTGAAATTGGATTATTACCTCTCTATGCAAAGTACCCTTTGTAGAGCCCACCCAACACCACGACCACACCCCGCCCCCCACCAAAAAAAAAAAAAAACTGTTTTTGACCATTGATAGCCTTCTTGACTTAGAAAGGACTAGAACAATTCTCTGTATCCTCCACGCTCCATCACTTTGCTGCATATCTTTTCATCATGAAAGCAACCGGTCATCCAAATTAGGGCTTGTACTCTATTATAACAAATAGTTAATTTTTTTTTTATAATCTTATCTTTTGAAATTCTTTCGATCAGAGAAAATGTCTGCTGGGCTTAATCGATCTTCCAGTACTCCTTCCAAGAATGCCCTTCCTCCTCAAGAACTCCTTGACGATCTCTGCAGGTTAGATAAAGCTAATCTTTTTCTTGAAAATTTGCTTATTTTAGTCTATATTGTCGGTGTGAACGCCAGCATTGGGTGTATATTTTCTGGGTTCTTGTAGAATTGCTGAAAAACTAAAAGTAGAAGAGGAAGATTTGCTATAGCCGTCACTCAAAATATATATGATTAACTGATGTAAGGGTGCGACTATTGGAAAAATCATGGAATTAAGGACAGGAAATTTGTAAATATTTCTGCAATTCTGGACCAAACAGGTTGTGCATAGCCTTTCTGCCCTTGGCTGGTTGGGTGCTATTAGCTCTACACCTGAAATGAGAGCATAAACTGTGTCTTTTTGTGGTTCTAGAAACATTGTTATATTATGCGAAGCTTACACAGAGCCACCGCGATAGTGTTAAAATTAGCTGAAGTCGAGGGCTTCTTTGGATTTAATTGTGACTTGGTCCTTGATCAATCGAGGTGCCTATAACTTTGATTATAGAAAGAAACTCTTTATTTTTTTTTGGTTTATCTTATTGTTTTTGTGAACAAGCATTAGTTAAAACAAAATTAAATGGCAACGTTGTGACTTTAGAAATGTGAAATCATGAAAAAGGGATTCGGGGTAATCAAGAATATGGTGCTGAAAGAGAACTTTAACATGGTTGTACAGAGCATAATGACCTATTACGTTCAAATATTGATGATATTTCTGAAGGCTGGTTGCATAAAAATCCTTCTAGTTTGAGTGTAATCAGCTTTGTGAGCATATCTGACATGATCTTTAATGATAGTTTGAACTTGTTCCTTTCCTGCTTGATTTTATTTTGCTTTCGAATGACATGCTTCTGATGAACTATTATTTGTTTCTACTAATTAATCATATTTCATTGCAGTCGGTTTGTTCTGAATGTGCCGAAAGAGGACCAACAGTCATTTGAGAGAATTTTATTTCTCGTAGAATATGCTCATTGGTTTTATGAGGACAATGCCATGGAAAAGAACCCTTCATTGAAGTCATTCACTTTAAAGGAGTTTACTTCATTAAGTATCCTTTTCTCTTTGACTTTTCTGGCTTCCTATTTTCTTAGTTTGCCTGATCTAACCACACTATTGAATTATTTTGATACTATCCTATGTTATATTTTACACATTAGAACATTTTTATTTTCCTTAATCTACTACAGTGTTTAACAGTTGTGATGTTTTAAAGCCATATGTTGCCCATATAGATGATATATTCAAGGACTTCACCTCGTACAAGGTTCGAGTTCCTGTAACTGGGGCTATTATCCTGGATGAATCTTTTGAAAGGGTGAGACTTTTGTATAACAAGCATTTTGATCCGTCTTTATTCCTAAATAGTGGAATATTTCTTCAAGGGAATTACTACTACACATTTTGTTGGTTTTAGAGTCTTCATTTTGAATTAGTATATGCATTCTTGTACAACTTATAATGATACTACATTTAAATTTGTTTCAAGCACTGGCAAAACCACAGTAAAGTTTGGGGGGTGGGCAAGATTAGTAGAGATGTGCATTTAAGAAGGTACCCTTGTATATTTTAAAAACTTTGGGGGAAGTTTAAAGTTCTTAAGGCGATGTTGAAGGATTTATAAGATTTGGGGGTCAAATTCTAATTTCTACTAGGATGTAGGTTGGAAACTTTAATAAAGGGCTATGAAACTATTTTTGAAATCTCCGGTGGGGGAGTGGGGGTGAAGGGGGAGTGGGGGTGAAGGGGGTGCTCCCCGCCTTTAGATCCAGCAGCAGTTTCAAGAGTTCAACACCTTTCAGATTGAATATGTTTGTTCTTCTTTGACCGTGAGATGAAGCCCAAAAACTATCAATCTGACTCTTCTGAAATATTGTATTGTGATTGTCCTTGTATTCAAAATAAATAAATTTCTGGAGTCAATAAGTTGTAATGCAGTTGCTGATTTGCAACTTGTGCTCAATTTCTTCTGTAGTTAATGAAAAATTGTTAGGCAAAACAGTATAAAATACCGTTGGTAGGCTGGACTCAACCCTCCTAACATGGGAGGAGACTTTTTTGTTTCAGGTTAAGAAAATAGGAGGGGATTTAGTGTGTAACTGTATCTAATTTATAGCGCCTAAGTGCCAAATTTAGAACCATTGACTTTGAAAAGCTTTCGACTTTTTCTTTATATTACAGAAAAGAAGGATGTGTATCAAATTAGATGCAACTTTTGGAATTGCTATTTAGAATAACAGAAAACAAAAAATAAAAAGAATTAAGCTTTTTCAGTGGACCCAAGAGGAAATTGTGTTTGAGAAGCAGGGTTGGAAAATTTTACATCTATTCATTTCATGGCCTTCTGATGTGCACTCTAATTCTCTTCTGAATAAAAGCTTGTGTGGTATGTTTTAAAATAATACCAGTAGGTAAGTCAAACATCTAATATCTCAAGGTCAGAGGTCTAGTTTGGATGACAAGTGCAGTACAGTAACATGTCATTAGACATCAATGAGGCATGAAGTTTGTTGTACAATTTTATTCG